TTTGAAGTAAGAAATTGGAACATAATAAAGAAATATATTATTATTAAGAAACTTAAAATATTTTTGTGGCTAAGACTTGAATTCAATTTCAGGTTTATGAGTCCTCTTTCGGCAGTTCCATTGGTAGCTCTCACGGGATTCGGTTTGTACGAACTGGGTTTTCCTCTGGTAATGTTTGCAAGGGAAATAAGCTCATTTAGAAGCCATATAATATTATATAGATGTTGTGAACTCAAACTCACTCGAGCCCTTTAATGTTGTTTATCAATGTTTCTTTGCAGCTTACCAAATGCATCGAGGTTGGACTGCCTCAGCTTATCTTACTCGTAATCTTTTCACAGGTACGCTTTCATCACATATAAAATAAAAATGAAAAAGTTGAACAAGGACTTTCTAATCAGTGAATGGTGTTTACAGTATTTACCACATGTGATGAAAGGTGGTCGGAATGTGTTTGACCGGTTTTCGGTTCTGTTCACGGTCATCATTGTTTGGATATACGCACACTTGTTGACAGTTGGCGGAGCTTATAAGAATGCGCCACACGCAACCCAACTTAGCTGCAGAACTGACCGTGCAGGCATCATAAGTGGGGCTCCTTGGTAAGATTAAAGATTCAAACATTTTTTTTCCCACCACAAATTCTAATTCACTCTTCTGTTTTTTATTTTTTAAAAATGTATAATTAAAGGATTAGAGTACCCTATCCATTTCAATGGGGTCCTCCGACTTTCCATGCTGGGGAATCATTTGCCATGATGGCCACTTCTTTTGTAGCTCTCGTTGAGGTATTAATCGAACATTCCTAATTCTTGGAATTTTCATAGTTATAAATTTTTATTTATCCAATCTTCTGTTGCTTGCTAGTCCACTGGGGCTTTCATTGCTGTGTCGAGGTACGCGAGTGCAACTCCTGTGCCGCATTCTGTTCTTAGTCGTGGTGTTGGCTGGCAGGTAAAAAAACTTACTGGAAGTAAGTTTATCTTAAAAATGATTTATATTTTTTAATTTTTGAATGATTTTTTAACGAAATAAATATTCCTTTTTCTCATATTCAAGGGAGTCGGCATCTTGTTCTCTGGAATTTTTGGGACTGGCAGTGGATCATCAGTTTCCATGTGAGACTATACTATAATGCCCTAAACTATTCCCATTGTAACACAAAATTGATTCTTTTTTTTTTTTGATAAAAAAAAAACATCTTTATTAATAATGATGGTTAGTAAATCTCTTTAGTTTTTTCTTTGAACAGAGAAAATGGTGGTTTGCTTGGATTAACGCGCGTCGGGAGTCGAAGAGTGATACAGATATCAGCTGGTTTTATGATATTTTTTTCTATACTTGGCAAGTAGCTTTGTATTAGCTTTTCTTTTTTCCCATATCCAAGTAAATGGCTTTGAGGTTCTTATTATTTCTGCTATTATTACACCTCAGGAAAATTTGGTGCTGTCTTTGCTTCAATCCCTGCACCCATAGTTGCCGCGCTTTATTGCATTCTCTTTGCCTATGTTGGTAATGCATTATTAATCCCATTGCATTGTAGATTGCATGGTGAATTTTTAAATTACAAATATAATGTCTCCAAGTTCTGTCTAGTTGAAAAGAAACAAAACAAAACAAAACAAATAATCCCTTTGAGATTCAGATGCACTGCATTTATTGATTACTTTTTTTTTTATTTTTGGTTGAGAAATAATAAGGTATGGGAGGTCTTGCATTCCTGCAATTCTGCAACCTGAATAGCTTCAGGACAAAGTTCATTCTTGCCTTTTCAATCTTCATGGGCTTATCCATACCGCAATACTTTAACGAATACCAATCAGTCAAAGGCTTCGGCCCAGTCCACACCAATGCAAGATGGGTAAAATCTTATTGCAATCTGATCAATTCCAAGCATTGTTTATTATTACCTCAAAAAAGGAACTTTATCAATATCTATGTGTTTTTGGCAGTTTAATGACATGATCAACGTAGCTTTCTCGTCTGAGGCATTTGTTGGGGGGCTTTTGGCATTGATTTTGGACGTGACATTGCCTCCAAAGGACAACGCGAGTAGGAAAGACAGAGGGTTGCATTGGTGGGAGAGGTTCCGGTCATTTAAGACGGATACGAGGAGTGAAGAGTTCTATTCTTTGCCTTTTAATCTCAACAAGTTTTTCCCCTCAGTTTAAGTTTTGTTCAACAAGTTAAAACTGATTTCATTAACTGGTTCTTGTTTTGAGCTTTGTGCATTAGGGGTCCTAAGTATTATAGTTTTTTACCCCCCACTTTGATTTTTTTTTTTCTACTATGAAAATTGCTTGAGAACAATTTTTTTTATTATTATTATTTTACTATATATAACAAGGCTTTGATTGATAAAAGGAGCCCTGTCGAATTGCTTGTTATCTTTTATTTTATTTATCTACATATACTGCTCTTAAAGGACGAGTATTTTTTGTAATAAAATTGAACTACTTAAAATATTCTCAAAGGAAGAGTGTTTTTATTAAAAATTGAACTACCTAAAATATTCTTAATTTACATATTGTTAACCGTTAAATAGTAATACGCTCATGCTCATCATATCTTATATTTTTTTATCTTTATCTATATAATAAGAATTAACATTTACCAAAAATAGTAGCAAAAAAATAGGTCAAAATTTAATGAAGCCTATAAATAGTAAGTTTTATTGTTTTTCTTATTTTTTTTCTTTAAAAATCATACAACATTAAATGTTACCTTAAATTTCAGGCTTTAGTTTATTTTATTATTTAAAAAATCCGACTAAAATTTATTAAGTGTGTATGTTTTTTTTTTCTTAAAAACAACGAACAACATTAAAATCTCGGTCTCTATATTTATAAAATCTCAATTCAAAATATAACAAAAGCTTTAGAATCTCGGTCCTTATATTTGTGCCTTTAAAAAAAATATAGAACGCTAAAAATATTCTTTAAATTGCATAATCAATCAATTAATCTTAATTTTTTTAAAATTACTATGTTTATTTTTTATTAATATGCATAAAGTAAAAATAATTAATTCAACTTTAAATATATAATTTATAATCTTAATAAACTATCATTTGGTGTAGACATTTATTATATGAATCATAAAATATTTTTATTTCATAAAATTAAATATATTTACAGAAAATAAGAAAATTTCTTCGGATCAATCGAGCGATTGAAATAGGGTACTGCCTAGGTTGATTGAATTATTTTAGGTGATACTTAAAATAGTCAAAAAACTTGACACAACTCTGTTGGTCCTAGGTGACTAAGTTATGTACCAGTTCGACCATACCAAATTGATTATTGAACCTAAATATAAATTTTATATTAAAAATATTTTATTACGTGAATGTGATGTAGTCTAAACTTTAAATAATCGTATTAACAATACTTTTATGACAACATGTTTAATGATTTATGAATATTTATATATCATTTTATTAATGTTTATGTGAATTAAATAATATTTTATTATAATATTTATTAATGTACAGTAAATGTAAGGTTTTCAGAATTGGACCGTCACCGAAACGATTAAGTTATTTTACTAAATCATTTGTGGTTTGTTCAGATTTTAATTTATAAATATTTTAATATATATATATATATATATATATATATATATATATAATACTTTTTGTAATAAACTTAAATAAAATGTGTTACTTAGATATCTAGACAGTTATAAATTCAAATATTTAAACTAATTGATCAATAATTTATAAATCTCTATTTTATTTAAATATGTAATTTTAAATATAACAAAATTTATTTTAAAAATCATATTGATCCTACCAGTCCAACTGACTGGTGTTGACGGATTGGAAAGAAAATATTGGTTATAAACCGGTTCTCAGTCCATCCAGTCGGACTGTGTTCAACCCGGTTTAATTTAAAAATAATAGATAAATTATGATTAATATTATTTATATATTTAATTTATAATATAATTGTAACCTTATTTTCCCGTGCATCGCACGGGCCACACACTAGTTAAGAACTAATATTTAATTAATTAAATACAAATACGCTGTAAAAAAGTGAAGTACCTAAAAACTCTTACTTTGAGATACTTTTAATGCAAAATTAATTAATAATAAGCTAATACATATTATATATCTTTAGTTTAATTAATAACTAGTATTTAATTAATTTAATACAAATACACAAACAAAATATTTCGCATCTCTTAAAAATCAACCACAATATTCTCGTACTACTATTCTTCACGAATTTGTTTTCTTTCATATCTCTCAAACTGCTTTTTCTATATCTCCCTAAAAATCAGTCCAACATCAACTAAAACAACGATATATTATCATTACTCATATATAAAAGGTTGCTTATATTTTTATGTTTTAATTTTTTATTTATGGTTTGATTTTTTATTTTATATTTCTTACAATTATATTCAAAATTTTAAATTGATATAAGAAAATATTTCAAGTCATGAATCAATAAATTTAATCTTTCAGATACATAATTGATAATTCCTTATCTTTTAGATATCAAGTGGATATAAATTATTTCTCAGGCCGAATTGATAGTTGACTCATCTTTCAAAACTCTTACTCAGAAAACTCAATTATTTGTTTTATAGTTTTTCTAATAAAAGAATACATGTTATAAAGAATAAAGATTACGATTTTTATTCTCGAGTTAATCACTTGCATAGTGAATTGATAGACGACCCAGTAATTTATCATTTTAAACTAATCTATTTCATTTTTTAAATTATTTCAAACAACTACTTTTATATTATTACTAAAATTATTTTAAATCAATATCATATATTGAGTAGTGTATAACTGCAAAGATCTTCAAGTACAATAATTTGTTTATTACTTGAATGAAAGTAAAGATTATGAAAAGAAATAGTTAGTTTTATTCATGTCTTAATTGCTATAGGAAAGAAATGAATAATTGGTCTTTTTTTCTAATAATAAAATAAAAATTATGGAAATAAATTAGTTTTATCCTCTTAAAAAAATTGTTGAAAAATATAGTTACATAATTTACTCTTTTAATAATTCATAGTTTTTGACGGATATATTTACTTTGTTTGAGAAAATTAATATATATTTACTTTGTTTGAAAAAAATAGTACTTTATTATTTTATATATATATATATATATATATATATATATATGTTTACTTTGTTTGAAAAAATTAGTACTTTAAATAAATAATTAATGATTCCCGAGCTTTTCTAATATTATTGCGGTAAATACTAATCTCTTTTTATATATATAGATAATAACGTCGAACACTAGATATTTTTTTTATATATATATCTTTTCTCTTGTATTCTTTATGCTCGCTTCATATATATTTATATTCTATTCTTAATGTGGATGAATTGCATTTCTATTCATAACATATATGACAATTTAGCCACAATAGATATACTATGGAGTCACTAGATGACACGATTTATGGGACAATTCACAATTATTAACAAACTAGTGTGATACCCATGTACTACACGGGTACTTAAATATATTAATATTTATACAATAGAAAAATTAAAATAATTTGTTTTTTATTGCAAAATTATGTATAATTAATATATATATATATATATATATAATGAATAACTGACAAATTAGTAATTAATTCAAAATGGAGCCCGTATTGTTGTACTTAATTTTCTTATTTTATTTAAAATTTATGAAAAAGCGCATTAAAATAATTACTTTATGGTGTATTATTGAATTAGATTGTTAATATATTTATTATAAAACAATTTATATCGTATTTATATTTTTGAAATTATTGTTTTAATAAATTTAGTTTTATTTATAATGAAAGATGTAATTATTTTTTATTTTATATATGCAATATGGATGTCAAATCAAACGTCAAAATATGATTATTTTGAGATATAATATACAAAAAATAAAATACAAATAAAACAATTATAAAGATTTAAAAATAAAAAGAATACATATTATAACAATTATTATATAAATTAAATAAGAAAAAAGTAATGAAAGAGAGATTTAAGTATGGGAGACAATACATTTATGGTAATGAAAGAAATATTTATGGGAGGCAATAATGTAAGTTGAAATAAATATTTATGGTTGATTCCAAGCCAATTTTGTTTCCAAAATTTTTTATCCGAACCTAAATGTACAAACCATGATATTTTGACACGTATGATTCCAAATCGTACGAGCCTGCCACTTAAACTCAGCACGTTTTGAATTAATATATAGGGGGGAGGGGGATGTGTATTGGCACTTGTCTATAATAAATATATTTTAGACAAGTGTAAGTGCATCTGTTATGGATGATTTCATAATGGAACCATCCGCTGGCTCCATAGAATTTCTATGTATAGAGAATTAAAATTCTACCTTCAAAACTATAATTGAAGGCGTATATCAGTTTTTGCAATATGTAAATTTTTCGGATGATAATAGTAAGCTGTGTTTACAAATATTTAGATNTATCATAACTCATACTTTGTAATATGACGCATCAATTAAGACTTCAGTGCATGGTATATAATTTATAAAAATGAAGTCAATAACTTGCAAAATGAATGAGTCAATTAATCACATAAAATAAGTAATGCGCCATATGTAGACATGGTCAAAACCCGACCCGGCCCGGCCCGGCCCGCCGGGTCGCCGGGCTAAAAAACACTGACCCTGAACTGGTACGGACCTATACTCGTGCCGGGTCCGTGTTCGGGCCGGGCCCATGTTTTTTTAAAAAAAAAGTATAAAAAAATAAAAAAAAAAAATTAAAAAGAAGGGTCATTACCCGGCCGGGTCATGAAATATATGACCCTTACACGGCCCGTCTGAAATCCGGGCCGATTTCGGACCCGTGGTCAACGGGTTTGATCGGGCCGTGTCAGTGTCGGGTCCGGGCCGGGTCAGTGCCGGGTCGGCGGGCCGGGCGACCCTTTGGCCATGTCTAACCATATGTACTATATCCAATATTAACAATGTGCTACCCATGAGGGGCAAAAATGTAAATTAAATTTGATGATTATAGGGATGACTCTTTTGTCTCCACTCTTTGGAAAAACTGAGGTCCATTCACTATGAGAGAGCATTATAGAGAACAAAATCAGCACGACAGTTCATAGACGCTCCACCCCATATATATCAGCCCCTCTTATTGCCCTATTGTCCACTCTCTTTCTGCCTACTTTTGAAGGCTTTGCAAAATCAGAGCATCCAAAGATGAATTTTTATTTAATAGTAGTATTTTTTTGACTTGGAAAGAGGAGAATTAATCTGAGATTTTCATTTGGTATAAAAGTTTGACATGTGAGTCTATTTATATGTCAGAGATCTTTAGGAAAAGCCAAGAATTTTTGCCCATCTTTCTATAGATCCAGCTAATTGGTGAT